CCCCCCCCAGGTAATCATGCAGAAATGCAATGCAGGCCAGCCAGGGGTCAGGTGGAGGGGGTTTGGGGTGCCGTTCAGGTGATCAGCAGCTTCTGCCCCTTCTCCCCCCCCCAAAAAAAGGCTCTAATTAAAGCTTCCCGTCCACCTGCCTTCTCCAGGAGAGAGAGTCCCGCAAAAGTACTTGGAACTCTCCAGAAAATACCAGGTGCTCTGTGGATACAAGGTTCTTTTCCTTGGCACCCCCCCCACCCTCCCGCTCTGATTCAGTTCCCATCCATCACCTGACACCTCGGGTTGCAGACCGACTCCGCTTTTCAAGAATCGGGGAAGTGGCGTCATGGCTCAAGGGGTAGAGCGCCAGCCTTGGGCTGAAGAGCTGAGGGACAGCGCCCAGGCCCCGAGTTCAAGCCCCACGACCGACCACCGCCACCACAACAAATTTACAAGTTCTTGGCCCGGTGGCTCCCGCCTGTCATCCCAGCTACTCAGGCAGCTGAGATCTGAGGATCGCGGTTCAAAGCCAGCCTGGGCAAGAAAGTCCCTGAGACTCTAATCTCCAAGGAACCACTCAGAAAGCCAGAAGTGGCGCTGTGGCTCAAGTGGTAGAGCGCCAGCCTTGAGCTGAAGAGCTGAGGGACAGCACTCAAGGCCCAGAGTTCAAGATCCACGACTGACAGAGAAAGAGAGAAAAAAAGAATTGGGAGCATGATTGGATTTTCCCAGTGGGTCCAGGAGTACAGGGGCTGAGAAGCTGCAGCGCCTGGGAGATGCTGGTCCCGTGGCTCTTTTCCGCCTCTGAGCCCCGGATCGCTCCATTTTGGAGAGAAAGCCTGACTGCCGTTGGTGAGGTTTAAGAACCCCAGCTAGGACCCGCTGGCTGGGCACAGTAGTGCACGCCTATCATCCCAGCCACAGCCACTGTGGAAAGACTGCAGCCCAGGCCAGGCTGGGCAGGAAACAAGACCCTACCTTGCCAATAACCAACACCTAAAGAGTGGGAGGCATCACTCAGGTGGTAGAGCACCGGCCTAGCCTGAATTCAGACAAACCCTGGTACCAGTAAAAGGAAGGAAGGAAGGAAGGAGGGAGGGAAGGACAGAAGGAGGAAGGAGGGAGGGAAGGACAGAAGGAGGAAGGAGGGAAGGAGGGAAGGAGGAAGGAAGGAGGGAAGGAGGAAGGAAGGAGGGAGGGAAGGACAGAAGGAGGAAGGAAGGAAGGAGGGAAGGAGGAAGGAAGGAGGGAAGGACGGAAGGAGGAAGGAAGGAGGGAAGGAGGGAAGACATGAGCCATTGGATGAGGACTTCCCTGGGCTCTCCTTCCTTCCCAAGATCTCTCCACCAAGTTCAGCTTCTGCCTCGCTGATTTATTTATCCACTTTGTGCCAGGCCTGGGACTTGAACTCCCTGCGCTCTATTTACTTATTTTTTCGTACCCAAGGCTGGCGCTCTACCCCTTGAACCACACACCTGCACTTCCTGGCTTTTTATGGGCTGGTTCATTGGAGATGAGACTCCCCCGGACTTCCCTTCCCCGGGCTGGCTTTGAACTGCGATCCGCAGCTCTCAGCTGGGATGCTGGGTGGGTGTGGGGGACGCCCCCCCAGGGTGGGGGAGCGGGGCCGGCAGGGGGGAGAGGCCCGGGCCCGTGTCCACACGTGGCCGGCCCACACTCACCTCCACGCTGCTCAGCCACCGCCGCACGGACAGGAAGGAGCGCTGGGCCGTGAGGTCGTACACGATGACCACGCCGTCAGCCTTCCTGAAGAACTGCCTGGTCACGCAGCGGTACCTGCCACGGTGGGGGGGTCAGGGCCCTGGGACCCCCGTCCCGG